AAAGGGTTAAGCTAAACTGATCCCTTCAGAACTTCTCAGGCTCTCCAGCCACATGAAGTCTACACCTGACTTGGGTAATGTGTACAACAGCTAATAAATCGATGTATGTGAATCCACACTGCTTCAGCAGCCCGCCAAAAGCCATCATCACAGTGAAGATCAGTGCGAGGAATAGAATAAAGGTGTCCACACAATGAAGGTAACAGATACTTAACTTATTTCCATGCTATTCTTTGTGAAAGGTCAAAATTCCATTGATTTGAAGGGCAAGACCCATAGATTATCTTTGAGAACAGTGTTTGTTAATCTTGGAAGCTACAATGGTCTGTCAACTCTATAAATGGTAGCTATGTAGATATGATTATTTCTTTTTCCTTGGAAAAGAGACTATAGCTTCCAGGGGATACACACAAAGGTCACTGATTCTCTTTCCTGTACTCCAAAGAGAAGAAGAATTACTGGTCAAAAAAGAAAAACCCTTTGGTGTAGAGTTTTCTCATTCTACTCGGAGTGCTGTGTCCAGGAGGAAGGAAGCTGGGCATGACTGGTGTGGCTTCCTGTATCCAATGTCCCTTGGGCTGCAATTTGCCTCACATTCTGGAGAAACAAAATTCTATTTTACATGCAATACACTTTGAGTGAGTTCCAGATGCCTTAAGAGATGCCAGATGGCTCACAAAAGGCTGAGCAGCTTCAAGAAAAACTCACCCCATTTCCTTGGGTCTGAACTACAAAGTTACACTTTCAGGGCCAGCTGTGGGGAACAGTCAAGGTCTCCCTGGAAGGTAGGGATCCACGGAGGCCTCATTGACCATGGGAACAATCCTACTTCTTTCAGCTGTTCTGAAGTCAGACCCTCACCAGGTGGATTTGTTTCGAAAGTAGGAAACTAGCACTTATTTAGAGCATTGTATATCAGGTAGTATGCTAAGTACTTTCACATATTTATTCCATTTAATCCTCCCAATAGGTGCCACAGGTAGCTATTTGAATGCAGGTTTTCCAGATGACAATGTGAGACTCAAAATATTAAGTAAATATAATGTTCAAGTTTTCAGTGTTCCATTCTATGTACGTCTGGGAACATTCAGGCTTCACCAATGGTATTATTGTATCTGCTAATCTAACAAAGAATTGCTGCTCTTTAGTCTATTTCTATAGTTCTGCTCATGAGTATACTAAAGGCCACTGAGGGTGTGCACACTTTCCCTAATGAAACATGCTTGCATGTGTACTTCACTACACAAGCTCTGCCTTGCACAGCACACTGTAAATGAAGCTTTTGTCCTAGAATGAAAACTCACCTGCAGCATATGGTATCCTTTCCTTCATAGTAAAGTTCCCTGACTCTCTCAATTCTAATCTCTTTATACCTAGATGAAAGGTATATTCCAGTTTTCCAGATAAGACTCTTTTTTAATTTCTAATCCTCTGGAATTCATACTCTTTCCTGATAAGACTTTTTAAATTTCTAATCCTCTGGAATTCATACTCTTGAATAGTGGCATCAGTGGAAGCTCCAGATATCTTCCACTGGATGTAATTCCACTTTCAGGTTCTCCACTTCCAGAACATTCAGGTTAGGAGTCAGAACTCTCTTGGAAGAGTTCTGGCTCTGCCACTCTTACCCATGACCCTTGTGTGATAAAATTCCAAGACTCTATTTTATTTCATTTGTGAAATGGTGTAGGAATACAGTAGCTACCTAGATTTGTGGTATTTTGTAAAGGATTAATCTTTTAAGGAAACCATGCAAGTAAATTAGCACAGTGCTTGGAACAGAGTAATAATCCAACTGTGAGGTAGAGATCAGGTATAGCTAATTCAGTGACAGCAATAGTGACCATTATAATGTCACCTATATCCACAGTAGTCTTGGCTCCAAAATAACCATGAATTAGTGCAGTCCTAGATCCTCTTCCACAAAACATATCTGCACAGCTAATAAATGCTCCAAAGCAGTGTGCTGACCTCTGTCAGTAATAAATTACACCAGTCCCTAAAATATGGTGTTCCTAGGAATGAGATACCATATACAGGTCTCACTGGAAGCTAGAGGAAGATATGAGAAATGAATTTGGCCTTGAAATAATACTTGTTTTCCATTGTGAAATATCAGAATTTTGTCATATTTTCTATTAATACAAAACAGTTCACTGTGGTTCCTGGACCAGTTCTGCACATTACATAATTCTCTTTCTATTGCATTTTTCTCCTATCACACACAAACACCAATTATGTAAGGAATCCACAGCAGAACACATAATTATGCCTTATTAGTGTAAACCCAGTATTCTGAAGGAGCCTTTAAGATCAATTGTTGTTACCTCGAGTGGAGGAAGGCAGCCAGAGAATGAGTGACCTTCTCTCCAAAAGCTCAGGTTGACCTTTTCTATGTTGAGTTGGCCACTGACTATCCAAAGTACCATCTTTAGGATCTCCAGCAGGCTCTGGTCAGTGTCTGACAGCTGAGGCAGGGCACTGGGTGAAGGCACAGGGGACAGGTCCTGAAAAGATGGACCACACAGAGCAGCTGCATGTTTTCCTGTAGTGTTTTTCAATCTGCTCTCCACTGTGCACCCTGGAATCTAGCTGCTCAGCCTTAACCTTGGAACCGTAGCTGGAGCTTTATCGCAGAGTAACTCAGGTCTGCTCCAGAGGGAGCACCATGCTCCTCACAGAAGAGACCCACCTATGTGACTACAACATGGACCACAATTTTTAATCCACCTTTCTAGCTCTTTCTTCCAATTTGAGGGGAAACAAATAAAAAAAAATAGTTCCCTTTACCTGTTTAATCTTACTTTTCTGAAACTTGGATAATTATGAATGGTAAGCTGAATTTCCAAATTATTTATTGTTACAGCAAAGCAAAGCAGCTCCTGCCAGGCCCTGTGACCAGGGAATCTGCATGACAGGAAACCCCAAACCAGGCAGATGTGCTGCATCCCCTCAGCTCTGGTCTAAGAAAGCTTTGAAAGTGTTGGGAATGATCGTTTATTCACAGTCTGGCATGCTGATGTATGTAATACAGATATTCCTTGTTTACTGACTGAGCCAAGGTCTTGTGACTAGGTTGTTAAATGAATTATTTTCCCTGTGCTGTGTCACTTTCTTAGGGAATGTGGAGAACATCATACTTTGATTTATTTCTAATTGTATTTCTCTTTTTGTTAAATAATTTTATGGATTTATTGAGATGATAATATAATTTTTAGCCTTCATTTTTTTGACATATATATCATGTTTATTGATTTGCATATGTTGAACCATCATTGCATCCCTGCAGTGAAACCAACTTGTTCATAAGGAATACTACTTTTGATGTGTGGTTGAATTCAATTTTTTATAACTAAGTTTACTGGTATAATTTAGATATGCACGATGATTACATTCATCATTGTGAACTTGTACCTGTACATGGTATATCGTAGTTCCTCTTTTTTTCCCATTCCCCTCCCCCTCTTCACCCACTTTCCTTCCTTATTTACAAAGCTTTGTTGCCATTTTATTCTTTGTTCTCATTTTTTTCTCCCCACTCCATTCCCCTTTCCACTGGAACAGTTACTTTCTATTTCACAATATCTATTATACATTTTAGTTCTCATTTACACTTTCAGCTTCTTACACCAGAGACAATGCAATATTTACACATATGTGTCCAATTTATTTCACTTAAGAGTATGGTCTCAAGGTTCATCCATTTAGCTATAAGTGTCTCAAGTTTATCCTTCCTTAGGTCTGAGTAGTACCTCATTGTGTAAAAAAGCCATCTTTTTTTATCCATTCTTTAGTTGATGGGTATTTGTGTTGTTTTCAAAATTTAGCTATTACAGACTAATCCAGAAAGAATGGCTGTTATCAACAAATCAGTCAATAACAAATCATGGCAGGGCTGTGAGTGAAAAAGCACCCTTATCCGGGGCTGGGGATTTAGCTCAGCGGCAAAGCGCCTGCCTGGCAAGCGCAAGGTCGTGAGTTCGGTTCCCGGTACCGGAGAAAAACAAGAAAAACAAAAAAAAAAAGCACCCTTATCCACTGTTGGTGGGAGTGCAAACTGGTATGACCAATGTGAAAATCAGTGTGAAGCTTCCTTAAAAAGCTAGAACTAGAGGTCTCATTTGACCCAACTATTCTCCCTTCTTATTATCTTCTCCCAAAGAATTAAAATCATCATTCCACAGTGATATATGTGCATCTAATTGTATTTTTCAAATCCTAATTGTTTTAAAGTTTTTCTGTTTTTGTTTTTGTTTTTTTTTTTTTTTTTTTTTTTAGTTTTCTGAGACAGGTTAGCACTGCGTAGTCCGGGCTGGTCTTGCATTCACTCCGTAGCGCAGGCTGGCCTCCAATTTGTGGAAATCCTCCTCTTGGGTGCTAGTATTGCAGACATGTGCCACCACTAATTCAACTTTTCAGTTATTTCTTTCCCTTGCTGACATGTGAACGGATTGTTGGTTTCTGTACTTCATAACTTTTGCATGTGCTTGTAACGAGAGACTTCACTGATTGACCCACTTTGTATTCTCACTGTGTGGATGAGCTCATACCCACGCACAATTGATTCTTAGTTCATAGGGAGGATTTCATTTCCACACAGCTGCATAAAAACACACATCCTTGCTGTTGAGAAAGAGATGCCATGGATGCAAAAAACTTTCTTCTCTGAGGAGAGAGAAAGAGAAAGAAAGAGAGAGAGAGGGAGAGAGAGAGCACTTGAGACTCCACTTCTTGGTTACTTTTCTCTCACTGCTGAGACAAAATACCCAACATCCAAAATGAAGGAAGGAAAGATTTATTTAGCTCACAGTTTGTGGAGGTTTCAGTCCATACTTTGCTGGCTCCAAGGCAGAGTGGCACATGGCAGAGGGCAACAGTTCATGGTGGCAGAAAACAGGAAAGCAACAAGAGCAAAAAACGAAGAGTGGCAGAGAGCAAGCCTCTTTCTGCCCCTTATATTGTTTGCAAAACTACCCACCCCAGGTCAGGTGTAGTAGTCACATGCATAATCTTGGCATTGGACCATCGATCAATCAAAAACTCTGGAAGCCAGCCCCGTGATTGTATAAGGCTTTGGGAGGACATCTTAGACACAAACCATAACACTCCGTAAGCATGAGCCTCATTGGTGGAAAGGAAAGCCATGCTCTCTGCACCAGATGAGACATTAGCATGATGACCTGGCAGCTCCACCATTTAACATCTTGGAGGAGTCAGCATCTGCAGCCTGGGAGATGGCTCTTGCCCACCCTGCCGTGCTGAGCTGTTATCTTGGACTTTCAGTTTCTAGCCTTTGAGAAGGAAAGGTGTGTCCTTTACAGTCAGCTGGGCTATTGTACTTTATTAGGGCAGCCTATCTGCTTGGACATCTAGAACAATATGCCCACAAAAAGAGAGATGATACCTTTGGGTAGGATCACTCCAACCCTGAGCTTCTCTCAGGTTGCTCTCTGCAAGTGCTCTGCTGTGCTGTAAATCATACAAGAAGTTGTACCAAGTGAAAACCAGAGTAGCTTTCCATAATGTACTTGGAAATGAAGTGCAAAATTGAGCATCCTCATTTATTTCACACTGATGGGAAATAGGCTGCTGAGATAAAATGTATTTAGTAAATTTTACCATCAAAAGTTTTAAAAACTGATTTTAAAGTATAGAATTATGATTATTTGTAGTTTTTGCCAAATATTCTTATTACCTGTCTGGACAAAAGGTAAATTGTACTTCCTCATTATGCATGGTTGGGCCCAGCTCTGGCCCTGAGCTGTGAGAAGTGACCAGTTCCACTTTGAGCTCATGTGACACCCTTCCTTGCCCTCCCCTTCTGCCTCTGCCACTGTCCAAAATCATTCCAGGGAGCCTCTACCCACCTGGCTGCTGCAGCTAAGGTAATCCCAATGCCCAAGAGGACTGTGCCTGACTTTATTGAATGCAGCTTGAACTAAAAACAAAACAAGAAAATAAACTTTTGTTTTAAACCCCTGAGGATTTGGGTTGTTACTACAGCACAGCTAGCATAGCCTCTAGCTTCTCTCTCCTGCCCTCTCACATCACTAACATATAGGGATAATGGAAAAATACAGTAATGTTTGAATAAAAATATTATTACAGTGACACATTGCCATTAATCTCCCTCAAAATATGCTTCCTCACTTTAAACACACTCATCCATCATCCTTGCTACTGATTGAAGTAGCTCTGGAGTCCTCTTTTGTGAGTCTTTAGGAGGTGTGATCAAAAATAGAACGAATCCTGCTGTTGCATGCCATCCAATACGGCAGCTCATAAAGCATGATTTGGAGGCAGCCAGGACTGCACAACTACATAGCTATAGAAGAAAGGACTCTAGAACTGCTTCCACAAGAAGCAGGAACCAGGGGACGAGTGTGTTTGAAGGACTGTGAGGGGGATTTGTGGCAATGTGTCTTTCACTGTAATATAATTTTTCACATTTAAACATACTGTGTTTTCAATTATACCTTGCCTTTATTATACATGACATACTTATATTCAGATGTATCCAGCAGATTAGTTCATATTTTCTAGGGATAAGAATTTATGGGACTGGATGACAAATTTCAGGCAGATGACTGGAGGAATGTTATTTGGTTCCATGTTGGGGTTGGGTGGCACCCTGGAGTTTGAGCTGTCAGACAATTGCAGGGGGGAGGGTAAAATGAAGCAGGGAGGCCAGGTAGGATCTCTGATCTAGCCAGGTCTTGGGCTAGAAAAATGGATTATACTGAAGATTCATGAAAGTTGTAAATAAATTGACATTGTATTGCTAAAATTTCTCATAAATGCACAATGAATTCCATTATGCAGTTCTGGGAGAGGGGGGAGTCAACACATATTTGAGCACCCACTAGATGGTAGACATGGAACAGTAATTTGTATATATCATATTGCTAACTCCTGAGACACCACTTGTGAGCTGTAAAATGATGTGGTTTTGTGGCTGAGATAGCTGAGGCATCAGAACAGTAAGTAGAGAATGCCCTATGGCACTGAGCAGATGGGGATGGCATTAGAGCCATGGCCCAGGCCTTCCGTCTTAAGGCTTGCTCTGTCTGTGGCCTTGCAGTCAGTAACACGATTTTCTCCTTGTTATTACTCTTTCTTACTTTAGAGTACTTTCCCATGGCTGTGTGAATTTGCCTACCCTTGGACTACACTTCGGGTGTGAGTTTGCACACAGTGCCCGTAAACAGTGCCCAAAGACTCTGGCTATGTTGTTGGAGAACATGTGTCTCAGTTTCAGATCTGCCATTCATTACTTGGGTAGCCTGAGTCAGTTTCTTGAGAACCTCTGGCCTCAGTTTCCTAATCAGTAAAATGGTGGTGGTAAATCATATTTCAAAGACACTATTTCCTTTAACACTGAGGTCACAACATGTAGGTTTGCCTGCCCCGCAACTCTTACACTGGGGCACACAGTCTGCGTCAGCCAGAACAGACTCAAGTGGCTCCATCACCCTGAATCTGTCATCGTCCTCCCAGGGAGAGGAGCAGATGATGAAAGCCCTTGCAAGAGAAATCAAACAGAGCAAAGAGCCCTACATCTAGACTGTTCTGACTAGAAATTTCCGTGCATCAATATAAGTTTAAGGATCCATAGCCAAGGTGGATTTCAAGAAGGAAACAACCTCTTAACTCTATGACTTTGGCACAACTAAGGGACGGTAAAGGGAGTCATGTTGAGCATAGCAAGATGTCCTACCATTTTAAGAGAGCCACTTCTGGAGAACCTCTGGCAAAGGAGTTGGACTGTGGGCAACTACAGGGCATCTTGTGCCTCAGGAAGAAGTGGCTCAGCTGAGATGTGAGGAGGAATCCTTAAGAGATAGGGCCAGGCCCTTCAACTCTTCCTGAAGCTTGTCCAACAAGCTAGAACTCAAAGGATGCAATTTGAGTTTTCTTCTGACCAGTCGGGGAAGGAGCGCATCTTCTCTTGTTATTCCACTTGCCTTCTGAGCAATGTTCTAGCACAAAAACAGAGGGAAGGGTGAACATGACTCCAACAAAGGACAGGTGAAGGCCCAAGGAAGGATGAAGAGCACCAGATGCTAGCATCAGAGTGTCCTCCTGCACGCCTGGCTGGAACAGAACAGGAGGAGGTACCTCAGAGTGAGCATTCAGTCTGGGTGTGTCTTAGTTTACCTTGCCTCAGATCTGTTCTGCAGTAGAAGAGAAGAAGCAAATCTTCTCAGGGGACGCGTAGGCTCTTTAATGTCCCCCATCTGTCTTTTCTAAAATATCATTTTGATTATGTGAGAATTTAGAATAAAAAACCATAGAGACCAGTTGATCTCTTCCTTGCAGACCAAAGAATCCAAGATCCTGACTGAGTTAATCAGGAAAACTGTGGCCCTTCTGAGCTTGGGCACCTTTAAAAAGGACAGTGAGGAGGTCAGTTATGATCTGTAGGGCTTGCCTGTGAACTCTTCAGGGAAGCTTCCTAGAATGCTGTCTGGTGCGAGGCTCAGACTGTCTTATTATCTGCTCCACATCAAAAGAACAGGGAAGGAACGTGATCAAAACTGTAACTTGTTCATCCACAATGTAAAATACCCAGCAGCTCTTGGGCTACTCACCTCAGGCTGGCAAGAGTCCTGCCCTCTGTTCCATAGACCAGCCTCTGAGCTTCCTCCTGGGGAGGCCATGTACATAGAACAGGGACTGGTTTCCAGTGGGGACAAAGCTACAGTAGACATTTGCCTGATCAGAAATCTTGGAGAGATGAGAATAAAAGCAAAGAGCCTAGGAGGGGAAGGGAAAGAAAGGAGAACACGAGTGAGCCAACCGGCACCTTAAACACACTCCCATTCTAAAAGGACTTCTGCCCATGGAGTCACTGGATCACTGAATCTCCAGTGAAGAAAACGTGCACCAATACCAGTTTTGGCATTATACAGTTAACACGTTTGACAAATATGCTGACAAGTAGCCTCCTCCCATTTGTGAAAGATTTATCTCCTTATTTGCTGTTGTCTACTTTTTATTTTGCTCTTGATTTATATTCTGGGTTTCTTATATGAGAGAAACCATGTGACATCTAATCTTGTGTGTCTGATTTATTTCACTTAACATTATTGTCTCAAAGTGCACCCATTTTTCTACAAACGACTCAAGTTTATCTTTCCTTATGGCAGAGCTGTACTCCATTGTATATACATACCACATTTTTTTTATCCATTCATCTGTTGATGGACATACAGGATACTTCAAGATTTAGTTATTATGAATTGTGCTACTATAAACATGGGTATGCATGGATCACTGTAATATGATGTCTTTACCTCTTTCAGGAAAATATCTAAAAGCAGAATACCTGGGTTAAATGGAATTTCTAGTTTTGTTTTTTTAAAGGAATTTCTGTACTGACTTCCACAGTATTTTTACTAGCTCACAGTCCCACAAACAATGTAGAAGGGGTTCATTTTTGCCACATACTAGCGAACATTTGTTATTTGATTTATTGATAATCTGTAGTAAGATGAAATCTCAATAGTTTTAATTTACATTTCTCTGCTGGTCAGAAATGTTGAAGACTTTTCCATGTATTCATTATCCATTTATACTTCCTCTGAGAAATGTCTATTCATTTCAGTTGCTCATTTTTTTATTGGATCTTGTATTTTGGAAGGGTATAATTTTTTGAGTTCTTTATATATTCTAAATATTAATCCTTTGTCCAAGGAATAGCTGGTAAAATATTTTCCAATTCTGTATATTGTTTCTTCACTCTGATGGTTTCTTCTTTGGCTGTGCAGAAGCATTTTAATTTGATATGATCCAATTTGTTGATTCTTGGAATTATTTCTTGTGCCATTGGGATTCTTTTCCAGAAGTCTTTGCCTGTACTTATGTCTTCAAGAGATTTATCTATTTTATCTTCCAACAGATGATGTGTTTCTGTTTTAATATTTAGATATTTGATATATTTTGATTTTGGGTTAGTACATGGTGAAACATGTGGGTCTAGACTCAGTCCTTTGCACGTGGATATCTAATTTTCCCAGTGTCATTTATTAAAAAGGTACTTTTCCTCCAGTATAATTTGACTCTTTTGCCAAAGATCAGATACCTGAATATATACACGTTTTTTTTCTGCACCTTCTGTTCTGTTCCATTGATCAATATGTCTCTTTTCGTGCCAGTACAATGCTGTTTTTATCACTGTAGCTTTATAATATAACTGAAACTCTAGGATTATGATGCTTACTGATTTGTTCTCATTACTCAGGATTTCTTCTGCTTTTCTAGTTCTCTTCTGGTTCCATATGAATTTTAGGATTGTTTTCTCTAGTTCTGTGAGAATGGTTGTGGTTATTTTGATTCAAATTGCATCAAGTCTGTACAGTAGTTTTGGGCGTATGGCCATTTGACAATTTTAATCCTGACTGCTTAAGAATAGGAGATCTTCTTCACTTTCTCATGCCCTCTTTGATTGCCTTTTCCAAAGTATGGTAGCTTTTCTTGTAGGGACGTTTTACTTCTTTAGCTGGTTAATTATTTGTGTGTGGTTTATATCTAGATGTCCCCCAAAAGCCTCATGAGCTCCTTGATGGGGCTTCCAGGTGATTGCATTATGGGGGTGGTATGGCTGACTCGCTGTTAGGATGTGGATCCTGGTGAGAGGTGGCTCACTGGGGATGTGGGCTGGAAAGGTTTGTGCTCCTCCTCTGCTCCCCTCTTCCCTCTGCTTGCTGTCTGCCATGGCACTCCTCTACCGTGCCCCTCTACTTCACTGTTTCTTCTGTGGAGCTGGCCTATCCTGGACTAGCATATTAGCCAAAATAAATTACTCATCCTTTATGCTGCAGGTGTTGGGTATTGTGTTTCATTGGTGAGGAAAGTGATTAAGATGTGTCTCACTCCATGTAATATGATGCTCACATAGGCAAGTACTGTCTTACATCTTTCTGACCCCAGCATCAATATCCCAAAGATCTATTGAAAGGCAGAGAATCAGGATGGGCCCATTGGTGAACTACTTCAGGCCAACGCACTTTACTTATATAAATCACCCTGAGCTGGGTTGTTGTTTTCCAAAAGCAAGGAATTTTCTCAAAGTATCAGAACAGTAAAATTGAAAACTCTGATCTAGAGACTCAGAGTTTCTGCCCCTGGGAGTTTCCAGGGCACCTCTAACTCTCTGGTAGATAGGTTCTCTAATCTGGTTTACTTGAATCACAATGTACTATTTAGGTGCCATAACAGCCCGAAAAGACTTTGCCTTGTGTTAGTTTAAGGGTACATTTTTTATGATATAAATTGCAGATTTCCTCACAATTTGTCAAGTATGTATGTACTCTGATTTCTGTGGCTCTGCTCATATGTGTATAATAAAAATTATCATTCTTTTTCTCACTAAATGGGCATTTTGAGTGATACTTAAAGATACTTTCCTATATACTAGATGAGAGAGGAAATTACCCATGTATACTCGTAGTATCTGTGTAGTTTCAGTTTTTTACCCTAAAATTTTGGATTCACTTGGAATGTATCATGATCTACACCATATATGTGTCTGACACATGAAAAATAGACCCAATTTAAAATATCTGTGTGTCTATTAAATAGTTCTAGCATCACTGGTTTAAAAGTTCATCTTTTCCCTATTCATTTGTGGTACAAATGTTATCATAAACAAAACTGTGATACACTACATGACCCATTTTTGGATTTTTCTCTTCAATTTCACTGGTCTTTTATCTTGTGTCCAAGGCACTCTATTTTAAACATAGAAACTTTATGTGCTACTATCTTATATTAGTGCCTTAACCCATACCTTACTCTTCATTTCTTAACTACTCTTAATTATTTATTTTTCCAGAGTAACTTTATAATTATTGTAGTCAGTTCTAAGGCAAAACAAAAATCTAGTACTCCTTTTGTTTTTGAATTTCATACAGTTTATAAACTACCTCAAAGAAGAGTGACAGTGGGGCAATGCTATTTCTATTAAAAAGATGGCTTTTTCATTTTTCTTGAAAAAGCTGAGATATTTCTTGTTATGCTTATGCCTTGGGGTACGATTCATTTGTTTGGTTAATTTAGTTATGAACTTCTTTGCTACATTCTCTTCTATTTTATTATTCAACTACACTTTGTTCATATGTAAATGGGCATTGATTTCTACTTATTGATGTAATAACCTCTGGTTTGCCAAATTTCTTATTGCTTTAGTAGCTTTACCATTTGCTGAGATTTTGGATGTATAATCTTTCTGAAGATGACTAAACAGCTTAATTTCTTCCTTTGAAGTGTTACATGTATTATTTCTTTCTTGTTCAACTGTGTCACTAATATCTTCAGCCTAAAACTAGAAACTAGTGGAGTTAGTGCATACTCGACTTCCAGGTTGTAACGGGAAAGCCTCTAATATCTCCCACTGAACTAGATGTTGGCTCAATACACAGAGAGAAGTATTTTGGAAAGCAAAAAGATCAAGTCATAATTCTTATTCTCAGATTTGTGAAAGGAGACAGGCAATAAAGCAACCTGTTTTAATAGCATGAAAATATCAACTACAAGTTATTTACACATACATTTTGAAACACATTAGAAAAGGTACTTATCTGAGTCTTGGGAATCAGAAAATAACACTTCTTGGTAGAGCTTATTTCTAAGTGAGACCTTCGTATGATTAGAAATTAGTTAAGAAAAGGTAAAGGAAAGAGAATTTTATAAAAAAGGAATAGTACAGGCAATGGGTAGGAGACAAAAGGGAACAGAGCTCTTTTCGAGGGATGGATGGGAAGTAAATAGAGTAGATAGAGTTGGGTTGGGAGGGTAGGTCAGAGCATTCAAATTTTATGTTAGCCAAAGGGGATTTAACAATGGGTCTTGTGTGTTTTAAGCAGCAGCAACACTCCATCAGTGGTTTCAAAATTCTTAGGAGAGGCAGTTTCTATACCCCTGATGCACTGGTATCATGCCTGGCCACACAGTTTGCTTTAGCTTGTGAAATTTTAGTGAGTACAGCACAGGCAAAGGCTTAAAATATACTCATTTGTTTTGTTTAATCACCACAGGCAGAACCTGCCTTGAGGAGCAAACTGGATTCAGAGTAAGAAAAACAGAACAGACCTCAACCAAAGCTACAATTTAGAGCCAAGCCCAGCCAAATCCAACAGAGAGCAGTCAAAGCTGCCTCGGCTCCCTCCTGTGGACCTGAGCGTACTTGATCATTGTTATGAACTGCTGAGTACTGGACAGTTTGTTACACAACAGCATTTATTACAACTGCTGGCCAATAAAAGAAGGAAGTATAGAGACAGTTTGAAGATCACTAAAATCTCTACTGTGATAGAATGGTGGTCTGATGAGGGTGAAAACAGAAGAAATAAAAAGATAATTTGAGAGGCATGAAGGAGGAATAACTTAAAAGATTCCATGATTGCTTGGCTATCAGAGCTATAAAGAGAGGAGGAAAGCCTGTCCAAGCTTCTAGCTGATACAATTGGAAGAATGGAGGGATCATTCTGTGAGACACAGACCACAGTAGAAGAATGGTTTGAAAGGCCCTGCTTTCAACATGTTGCATCTGAGCTGTGAATACATGCCCAAATAGGAGGTCCTTGACATCCTTCTATTCATCCACATGAATAGGATAGCACCATGTGTTTCTTGCTATTATGAAGAACAAGCAAGAAAACACAAGCAAAGGGGCTTTGGAAAGCACACTCTACCAACCAGCTCTGATAATTGGTAAAATGAAAGCACTTGCACTTTTATTTTCATGATGCCAGGTG